GAGTATAGGAGGGTCAGGTTGTTAGAGCCGCCCGTATCCAACGACGATGGCGAGCAAATAGATGGCGTGTGGAAATAACAATTTTCATGACGGTAAATTTAGTACCAGTTGTAGGAGTCCCAACGACCGTCTCTACAAATTGTTAGGTTGGACTCATGTTCATGTCGCATGACGGAAAATGTAACCACGGTATGCGGGAGGGGGGGGGTGTCACTCGGTTGGGCATGCTTCTGTGTACCGTTGGTTTATGTCGCACAGGCCGATTGCCACCTGGCGTATCCAAAACTAGCCCGCGAAATGTTGACGTAGTTAGTTTAGTCCATGTCGGCGTACGGGCGAAGTAGGCAGGGAGCTCAGCTTTTAGGGACACGCACGCCAGGGCGAAAGTCGGCGTTTACCAGTCAACTATTATAGGCTCATTTCACGCTGATTGAATGCATGTACCCGGCTGAGTCGCTCTTTGACCAGGGAATATATTCCCTGTTGTCGTTTTCTCTTTTATTTCTTCATGCGATTACCACCATGGGCGGGCGTGATTTGGTAATCAGATGAACCAGAGACTATCTGAACGGCTCTAATGTGAAGACAACAAGGCGACAACACCAACAGGACTCCTGTGCGGCCTTCTTCCCTTGTGGCCCTGGCTAGCTGACGCGTACAACATTCTACACAACACACAGAACAGGCCAACACAATACAAATCGCGACTTCCAGAGTTTTCAGGGTGACACACCCACCGCCGCAATTCGAACAAAAAACGTGTACACGTAGACGTACGCACACCAGACGGCACAAATCTTGGTAGTATCTCGACTGATCCGGAAAAGCAACGGCGGCGCATTATTCTCCAGACGACGTCGGCGAGAGACGTGGAGTACCATACCATCCTGTTGGGCGGTGGCGTTCTGGTTCAGCCTCAGTGGGAACCCCTCTCGGCTTGGGGGAAGCTTAACCCTAACCCTAACCATACTCTACTATAAAGAATCTCCCTCCTGTAGTTTTCAAACACTCACCGGGGGGTACCCTCCGAGCAAGACAAAATTAGATTGCGACCAACCCATTTCCTTGAACAATCGCGACGCCAAGCCGACGAAGGGAGAACACGCTCTACATATGGACGAACTACAAAGGCAAACGTAAATAAGGGTTCCTTCCTGCGACTTGGTGTGCATTGTACAGCAGTACACCTGAGAACATAACGACACATACATTGTACATACAGTCACACTTCTGCTTCACCTCTGATTTTACGCGATGACAACTCCCCCTTCCTGTGTAGATACCATACGAAAGAGGAAACAGATTATTACGTGCTCACGACTCCCCCCGTCACGTTTATTCCGGCATCTTTCTCTTGTGTCAATTAATAATGGACCTCCATTTATGACGGCCATTTGTTTGTGCTTGGCGTGCACCATCAAGAACGTCACCACGCCTGGAACATCCGTCGCTCGAGCTCCGTCACCCCCCTCCGCAGCGCCGACATCTCGTCGCTCAGGTGGACCACCTCCTGCGCCCGCCGCCGCACCAGCTTGTGGTGCCGCCGCCGCGTGGCCAGGACGCCATCTCGGGCGCGGCCCACCCTCTCCTCGAACCGCTGCTTTATCGCCGCATGGTGGGATCGCTCCCCCTGTGGTAGTGTGTGGACGAGGGTTACGCAGGGATAGTGTTTGGCGCCACAGGGCAAGGGCACGGATACGCGTTTCGGTGATTGTGCACTACCCTAACCCCCCCCCGTGCGCGCGCGCTGCATTGCCGCCCAAGAATCCCCCCCTTCCGGCTGGTGTAGGCCGGGAGGTCGAGCTAACCAACTCGGAGCGCCCTTTTTTTTTTCTGCCTTCTTTCGTGTCATGGTTTGCGGAAAATTCGGCTCTGCGGCCGACTCCACTATGATCCCAATTGAAGTGCAGCGCCCTGTACCCAGTCATAAAGAGAGTTGCATAGCAAGACTTTTGAGCCTTGCTCATAACCGGCGTTTGTTACAACCGGGCCGGCGTTGTCCTCCAATTTCCACTTCCGGGGTACACAGCAGCAGCAGCAGCGAGTACAGCAGCAGTACCCCCAAAAGCGTCGTACCACATACATATGTACGACTGATGACACGCACCTGCAGCGCTTCCTCCGCCTCCCCGAGCTTCTCCCTCAGCCCAGCCGTGCAGTCCTCGAGCCGTCGCCCCCCCTCTGCCTTGATAGCCTCCACCTCCGCCTCCGCCGCGGCAACAAGGCTCCTAACTTCCGCCTGGCTCTGCAGAGATGGGGGCGGAGACATCGACGGATGGATCGACGGACAGAGCTACCAGTGTAAGGTGGTCCCTCTGCAGGGCCGCGCAAGTACGGCCGGTTTACCTGTACAAAACCGGTGACATCGCTTGGCACTGATGGGATATTCAGCGTGTCACATACGTCAGCCAGGTGCCCGGTGTAAGGCCGGTCAAACCCCTTAACGCAATGCGGCCCTATTACAGGGACCACTGCTGTGGTACGGGCAATGAAACTGGTGTAGGACAAAGGTGCCTTTTAGCTCCAGGGTCACACGATCAACTCACCCCCACCCCCCCGGTGTTTGCCATTGGGGTTGGGTTTTCGTCGCTTGGCAGCGATGTTGTAAAACAAGCCGATCACTTCGTGAGCTCGGCAACCAGGTTACCGTTTTTTTTTTACCTTTTTCTTTTTGCAGTAACCATGAATGGTGGTCGAGTAGATCATGTTGTGCGGGGTCGAGAACCCTCACTCCGCGCAACGGGGGATGATCGCACCACGTTGTGTTAAAATGGTCAAGCTTCCTCGAGGCAGTTACACAGTGCTTATAACTGTCTCTGGAAGTGAAAGCACCAGAAAATAAATTAAGTCATACGCAGCTGTCATCCGTACGCAAGGAAGTAAGCACAAGATGCCCAACACCCTTAGCAGGATGCAGCGCACCCTTCATGCGACTCGCCGTATACCTCGCGGCGCTTCGCGCTTGGTGATGTGAGAGCCTGGTCCGGTGAGAACCCGGCGTGCTCCGTCCCGGCTTTGTAGGGATGCAAGGTCAACGGTCTAACGACTACGGCATGCCCGACTATGAGTACACCCCCTCCCCGCCCCCGCCCCCGTCAGATACGTATTGTTACACAAAAACCCATCTGATGCCTCCCTTTCCTGTATCGTTCCTCACGGGACGTCGGCAACACCATCTCGTGCACACCACAAAAAAAAAGAGAAAAAAACGACCTTACCGTCTTCTTCAGAAGTGGCCTCCTGCACCCGCATCTACCAGCAACCTCCTCACGCAGGTATCGGGCCCCCGAAATAGAACGGGAGAGAGAGAGAGAGGTTGCTGAAACATGCACAGACAGGCTCAGCCGCGGGGGGCAGGAGTGTTTCTAGCAACCAGCCTCTTTTGGTAAAAAATGTGGCATCAGAAGCCACCAGCTCACCTTTTCCCGCGCCTCGCCGCACTGCCTTTGCCCCTCCGCAGACACGGCGTGAGCTTCTTTGGCCTTGTGTCTCAAACGAAGGTAGTCGTCGGTTGCCCCGGATAACCGCTTCTCCACCTCGGCGGTCCTGCAACCAACAAGAATGTACCCACACACACAGCAGATGATGGCCTTAAGGAGCGCTTTGTATTTTCAGCCGCACTGAGAAGACCGACGTCTTTTCATAATATCAGCCTGGGGTGAGCGTACTCGATGCGAGAAAAGAAAGGCAACCACACACAAACACACACAAACAAATTGAATACCAAGTATGCACACGGAAAATTGTTTCACACGCTTCCTGAATAACCGAAAAGACACGGAACGGTCAATACAATGTTGCCGTGTTATTGTTTTCGTTCCATCTATTTTTTGGGTGACAGTCAACACCGAATTTAGCTATGTTCGACACAGAAGTTCGGGTCGCACAAGAGGAGGTTGAACACCGGATTTTTTCTTCTCTTTTTCACTACCTGTTCCCCTCACTTGCCTTCAATTTGAACGCGAAGGGTTCAACAGATAGTTCCTTCCCTCGTTTTTCGTGTTTACTCACGACCATGCTTTCGAAACCTCTATGATAATTATTCTTCGAATTTTCACTCCGGACGGATTCGAACCCTCAATCTAGAGAGTCGCAAGGTTGCGATGTCAAACGTGCGGCCGAACTCATGGGTGCGCAAAAAATCCATTGCTCCGCAACCAAGAGGCCTTCAATGCCAAAAATAATGGTCCAAGACTGATGACACATGCAGCCACTGTGCTTAACAGCTTCGACTCACCTCCGTCCAAGGGCTTCCATAACGCGGGCGGCGTTGTCCTTCTGAACCCGAGCGTGCATCTCTCTCTCCTGCTTGTCTCTTGTTAGCGTTTCGTGGAACGAACCTTCGAGGCGCTCCAGTTCCCGCAAGTGCCGCTGGGAATCAAAAGGCAGTCGAGGGTGCAAAGGAGCGTAGGCAAGACGTGTGAGGTGGCGAAAACAGCACCGGCAACTGGGAGAAGGGAGTCCCACAGAGTGTACCTAACCCCGGACCCCGCCCCGGGGATGAAGGCTGTCTGTGTCACGCGTGTTTCAGACGAACACAATGAAAAAAGAACAGATTTCTTGCGTTGTCGAAAGTTCTTGTTTCTTCTGGGAATCATTTCTTTCACCTCACCCCGTCTGTTGCCGCTGACGATTCATTCGACCTAAGGCTTTTGTCACCGCTGGTGCACCTCAGATATACCGCGGTTGTCATGAAATCAGCAGGAAGCCTAAAACCGTCCTGTTCTGTGTCCAGAGGGGTTGGTTGTGGTTGTGGACAAATGACATGTCACAAGCCTTTCTGAGCCCTGCGACTTGAAACATCTTCTTCGTAGCTCTCAGCACCAAAATACCAAAATGCACGCATCAGGTCCGCTTAAAACAGAGTGGACCAAATCGCTAAATAGAAATTAACCCTAGTTGAGCTACCTTAGCAAAATGCACCCGTGACTATTGTACTCAAGTTCTAGAAAAGTGGAGCAGTCGCACCGCCGAGACCACGTCCACAATTATCGAGGAGCGCAAACTCCTGATGGCAACACATTTTCCTCCAACCTTGTGGAAGCTATTCGCAAGATCAAGGAAGGCTCTTGCGGACGATTGCTTTTCCCATATGACTCTGCGAAAGATGAGCTTTTGGCTTCCAGGTGGCGAGACGGTGGTATAAACAAAAGGCCGAAATACCGTGACCCCCCGATGTGGGACAAAGTTGTGTAGAAACCTTTACAAATGATTTGATCAAAAATCTTTACGATTACATTCCCAAATGTCTGTCAAGGTCGATTTGTGTCATCTTTACCGTACACTCATAGTGGAAGTTATATCCGGGGGGGGGGGGGGCAACGTATGCCCCCAACAAACCTGGGTGATTTCCAATCTTCTTTCCAAATGCTGTTGAAATCCCCGGGTACACCTCACCCTGTTCACCTCCCTGCTTTTTCTCGGGCCAAAACTGCCCCCACCATCGCCACTTCTCGGCCTCCTCCTCCTCCTGCCGGGAACTCCTCCCCCCCTCCCCCCCCTCCTTCTGTCTGCGTGGCCTCCATTTCCCTCCCCTCTCTCCGAGGTCCATCGCCGTCCCGGATGCAACCCATAGCTCACCCCCCCAGTCGCCTCCTCTTCCTGTGTGTGGCTGTCACTGCCGGCATCATCGCCACCTTCTTCCTCCTCGTACTCTCCGTCGGTATCCCTTTCTCCCTCCGAATTTATTTGTTCCCCACCGCTGCCGCCGCCGCTGTCGATACCGTCGTTCGAGTACCGCCGTCGCCGCGGTCGCTGCTCCTGCTGCCTGATACTACGACGTTCAACGTGTCTTGGGCGTTCGACAAGACGTTCGTCTCCAAACACGCCTCTTCTTCTATCTTCCTCTCCACTTACACCTCGCCCAGCACTCGTCCCGGCTGTCGCCGCCGCCGCAACACTCCTGCGTGAAGGCGAATTCGAAGTTACCGCTCTTCGATTGTTCTGGGGGACGGACGACCTATCGAGGGGTCGAGAACCTCTCGACGGCGGCGGCAGGGGTGGAGGGCAGGCGTCGGGCGCCAAAGCCTGGAATACCACGGTGATGTCCGGGGTGATGGGCTGAGACAGGGCGAGTAACGTCTGGATTTTTATCCGATCCTGCAAGGGTCGGCGGGGGAGGGCGGGGGTGATTGCACATACACCGAAAGAGAAAACAGAGCGTACAGCAGCAGTATTGTTGCATTTTGGGGCATGTGTATGTATTCGGGTCCGACTTGAGGCAGGGGCCCGCGCGAATTGGTACACAAGACAAAGTCGAGTAAACCAACACCAACAGTGGTGACGAATAGCCACCGCAACCAGAGAACTCAGACGCCACCCGGCCAAAGTGCCGCTTCTTCTCTTAATGGCGAAAAGCGGCGCCTAATTGACCTACGCCGAGAGGCGGGGGGTGGGGTGGGGGTGGGGGTGGGGGCGAGTCTCTCCACGGCCTTACCGAACAGGCAAAACCTACCCCCACATAGGGCCGTACCTGCCGTTGCTCGTCACGGATGGCCCGAATGATCTCCTCCCTGTCTCGAAGCTGCTTTGTCTCCGCCTCCACCTCTCGCGAGACTTCACCGACCTCCAACCGCAGGGCTAGGAGCTCTTCCTCCTGGTAACGGCGCCCCCACTGCAGACAAGGGTTTGACAGAGTTGAAGCAGTGATGGTCATCAGGTGCACAAAGCAGCGTTCGCGGCAGATGCTGCTCTGCAGTGCTTTGAACCTGGCAGTCGTATCCCCCCCCCCATTCTGCCTTGATCTCCGACGATCCTCTACTGCAGCGACAGGTACTGCCTGGTCTAGAAAGCAGAACGCGCCCGCTTCGCACACGTCCGAAGGTCCTTCTACAAACAACAATCGGTGATGTTTTTTGTGAGGAGTGTAGCACGTGTGCGGAAGTCGTCGTCCACTCCAGTTGGTGGTAAGTTTTGCCATACCGGGACGCGCAAGATCTGTGGGCTAGACTATTTGCCAAATCGGAAGGAAATCCAAGATTCCAACATCCAATGCTTTCGTGGAGTGCTTCGAATTTGGCACTCGCGACATGGCCCCAAGGAACACAGCCGCACGCACTGGGAACAACATTCGCAAGGCTTCTATCATAGCGCGTGAGCGCTGTGTGCTTGACTTCATTCTCGGAGACCAACTACACCGCACACACACACTTTTTCTGTCGTCTGAAGGGCGAACGTCACCGCTATAAGTTATGCCCAGGTAAGGACACGCCCATGTAGCTCTCGTTATGCTGACACGTGAGAGAGTCTAGCGCCCGGGAGCATCATGCCGCCATGAAGCACCTGTGCTGTCGAGAGAAAACAATTGCACTGCTGTAGAGAGTGGAAACCGTTAGGTATTTTACGTTTGATCACTGCTGACCTCGAGTTGATGCTGCTCCTCGAAGGAAGGCTGGACCAGGTCGATCTTGTTCAAAACGTTGATGCGCTCCCTCTCTATCGCGCGCATCGCCTCCTGGTAGCACTCCATCGTCCTGGCTGTCGTGGACAGCCTTGAGGCACCACGCGCACGGGCAGCAGCTTGGCAAGCTAGCAGCGGCTGCAGGTTGATGGGCGGGTACCTCCCTCCCTCATCCGCGTCCCCCCTGCAGCAGATCAAAATCCAAATCCCTCCAGCGCCCAGCCTGCAGCGGTACACGCACAGCGGGAGCACTACTGCTGTGTATGGTGAAGTGCAGTAGTCTGTCAACATGGCGGTTGGAAGCTCTGCTGAGACTATGTCTATGAAGGGGAGTGCGAGCTTGGCTGAGCAGCAGCAGGAGGTGGTGGCGGCGGCAGCGGCAGCCGCCCGACCCTTCGTGTGTGTAGAGTGCGGTAGACCCGTCGCACTTCTGTTTCGAGAGTACAACAAGGGCAACATCCGACTGGGACGATGTGTGAGTCTCTACGATAGCTTGATGATTGAGTTGCCAGTGCTGCGACCAAGGAACATGGGCACACAAGAGCAAACAGCAACGGGAGAGACCAAGTCGGTTGGGCCGCATGCGGCGCAATAAGCTCTCTCGTCTCTCGTATTTCTGTGTGTGTTTTTATTATTCCTTAATACTGCGTCGTGTACATTCGTGTCGAATGGGTAGTCTTTCTGTGCGTGTATTTATTTTTCCTTCATTCGTGTACAATACAGCAGTAGCTCTGCTAGCTCCTCACGTGCTTGTTCTTTCCATTTTATCTTGTACTTGAAGTAGCTTTGTACTTTACCGCTAGCGCACACACGGTGCGCATTCGCTACGGCAGCTGTCTGTCGGCGCTGCGGTTGCGATGATTGCATCGGGCACTTCCTATACCACAGCAGTTTACCGTGTTCTCCGCTGTGCAATCTCATGAGAGCCGACGGCGGTTCGATGCAGGCAATAAAAAACTTAACAATCCAAGCACCAACATCGAACTTTGAAGCCCTCAAGTACCAACATGGACCGACGAGCGAGCAATCACTCGGCACGCAGCAGCTAAAATGGATATGCATGTACACAGCAGCAGCAGACAGGCAGACAGGGAATATGCAGAAGGCCGGAGCTTTTCGCTTCTCGTTTGATGACTCCAGACGGTCCGTTGAACCCGGTGCCCAAAGACGAGATACCACTACGCTCTAGGTGTGTTGTGCGAGGAGCGCAGAACGCAGAGTTAACGTCATCTCCACTATGATTTCATCGCTACTTTCCGGGGGCATCCACGGATAGAGAGATGACTCGGTTTGTTTAGGGAAGAACAAGAAGGAGAACACACACACCAACACCCTCTTGTTCGTCGACAACAGCAGCAACCCGGAATGAGCCAGCGATCAGTACATGCTACAGTAGTTTGAACATTGCACATATTGTTTGCTCAGGCTTTCCCAAACAACGTCGCCTGGAAGGTGCCTGGCCTTTGTCATGTCGCAAGATCAAGCGCCCTCGCCAACCGATGAGTTTCCCCGCTCGATGCGTATGACACCTGTGTTACTCGACATATCTCGTTTCAAATCGCCAATGAATACTTGCACGAAGAGAGGTGAGAAAATACCTACGCCCGCTGGTTGCTTCGTGGGACCAACTACATAGCTTCCGTCGCAAGCGCACGCATGATCGTGTGGTTTCACCATCTCGCATGCGTGATCGCATGATGCCGCGGCTTGCTTGATGCTTGCTCTATTCTTCGTTTTTTGCTCTCCGCACACTCTATCGCTTGCTCCTTGCAGAGCTACTGCCGGTCCGTGGCGGACAAGTACATCGAGTGGGAGTTCGTCTTGATCGCGATTGACCTGGCCTTACATCGGGTCCAGGCCTACCGGCACCTACTCTTCAACATGAGGCCATTCAGTACACACAGTTTTCGGGTGCGTGCGGCCAGACAAACTACCCCAATGTAGCCCGTTCCTAGAACCCCTCTCCGTTGTTTTTTTCTAGCCAGACCCACGGGCATTCGCTTCTACAAAACAACAGCTCAGCTTGTTATATCAGGACGTGCCCTCACTCTTGTTTCGTGCGTTGTAGTAGTCCACATGGTGCTTGTTTTTCCCTTCCCGTGCTTGAAGTGTGAGCGGCTTCGTCTCGTTTCCAACGGGGAGTGTATCGACGCTCTCCAAGGCGTGCGAGACACGTCAGGTATTGAACCAGTAGCAAAACCCGAACCATGACAGCGCGTCCACACATAACTGTACGATAGGAACACCGGCTCTTTCGCCCACAGCGAGTTATGTTTAGACGGAATCCGCCCCCCTTGATCAAAAGACGCTCGTGCGCTTGTACCTCGTGCACACGGTCTGTGCCGTGTGAACGCGTGCACCACTTGTTCGTTGCCAGCCAGCGTCCACATCGGAACCAGCCAACACACACCAAATCTTCCAACCGCGCGGAAACAAACACACGCACGCACACACACATACACACACAGGGGCGGTTGTGGCAGCTGGGGGTAGGCATGGCAGCCCTCGACGCCCACCTCCGACACACGGCACTGTCCAGCGAGGCGGCGGCGGCGGCCGCTCAGGAGTCTGCGGGGAGCGTTGTTGTGGCCGGCGACGGGGGCGGGGACCCTTTCTGGGAAGCGGGCGGGCTGCTCCTCGCCGCGGTGGTCGAGCACGCGTGTTTCGCGGCTGGGGCGGTGCTTTTCGCGACGAGCAGGGTGCGCGCGGCGGCGGCAAAGGCGGCAAAGGCGCGGCGAAACCGAAATCGACAAACCGGCCGGCGAAGCACACGGAGCACTGGTACGATAAACGGCGGTCGGCAGGAGGAGGACTGGGATGAGTATGGAGGCGGCGGCCGTAGCGCCGCCGATAGAAGGGACGACGACGAGTGGAGAAGTAGTGGTGATGTGGGGGGCACCGGTGGGCTGGGGGAGGGACAACAACAAAGACGACAGGGCAGGGCCGGGGAGGAAGACGGAGAAGACGGAGATGACGGTTACGAGTCTTCCTCGTCCTATTCGCTGCCCCCGCCACGACCGGATTCTTCCAGCACCATTCCATCGACCGCACCGTCTTCTGCGACAGTGGCGGCATCGCCTCTGTGTGTTGGTGGCGGCGGCGGCGGCGGTGGTTCTTCCCGTGCAGCCAAGATGTACATGGCCGTGGTGTACCCCCTGTTTTTCAGACTCCTCGCAGCGTTCGTCATGATCTGGGATCGACAGGTTTGGTTTGCCACGTCTTTTGAGATGACTGACGCATCCTCATCATCTTGTCCCTACCTCCGGTCATATTTGTCCCGAAAAACTGCAAGAATAATTTTTTTCAGAGCTACATGCAATTCGTGCTACTTAAAACTGCCTGTAGCTCCTCAACCTATGAGATTGCAATTATGTTGGCTACCGTCAACTTCCGTTGCTCCGTAGGAAAGTTAAAGTTCCTGCTCCTGACTCTACAGGACCCGAACTGCCCGGGTCAAAGACACTTGACCAATCCCCTCAGCGCGCAGAGGGAGCGGAGGACTCCAGAATATTCGTCGTTGGTTTCTATTGACTTTTGGACCCCTCGGGGCCAGTTTATTTGAGTGTACCTTTTTAGGGTAAGTTAGCCTGTGACCACGGGAATGCGACTCCGTCAGGTGTTGGATCAGTACGGAAACACGAAGGTAGTGGGTAGAGAGAGATCGGAACGGTTTTTAATGTGAAGACAACAACAACAACAATCCCCTTATCCCGCGGTTCAGGTGGCGATCCTGAACACCATCGAGTTGCTAGTGGCCACCATGCAGTTCGTCGCCCTGTCCGCCGTCGTCGGGGGGCCCGCAGCGGTGAGCGGAATGGGGGAGGGGGGCGTCGCCGCCATGTCTGTCTTGGCCGGTCTGGCTTCCAAGATGGCGGCAAGAGCAGTCCTGTGCCTTTGGTTCGGCAGCGACCCCAGGACCCTCCGGATGCTGTGACTCGAGGGGCGCCATTCCGGGGCTAACGGGAAGGAAAACGCCGCACGGCAGTCGAACTATTACGACTATTTAGGCCTAAACACCGGAGGTGCGGAGAGCACATCAGACATCGTGCCCTTAAGGTTTACGCCAGGAACGCCTCTGTTTTGTGAATCCTCCTTGGCAAGGAATGCAGGGCTTCATGCGTGCCTCGAGCCTGCGTGCTGTTGGCCGCGTTTCAGTGGTGTGGGCCTGTACATAATAGCATAATATCAATCTCGAGGGACAACCGTCCGTTCTCGAGAGCGGCAGCCGCTGTCTCTCGATGTGATCTGAGATCTCTGCCGTCGACCTTACGCTACGATTATGCAACCTGTAGGCTGGCTGCGGGGGGCTTTCCGTCAAGCAGCTAGTTGCAGCTCATCAACGCAGATGAACGCCGGGAAATCATCCATCCTCTGCTTCTTTGGTTTCGACGTTGCGAAACAGGCGTCAGAAACCAACCCCAAAATGATCTTTCGAAAGCAAAACTTCGTAGCCGACTCCGAAGTTTGCGCGAAGAACAAAATCAGATGCGAAGAGGCTCGAATGGCAAAGACAAGGTTGCAGTCTGCTTGAAACTGCGACTCGGTTTGTCTCAGGAGCTGCTGCTCTCGGCTATCACCTCTAAAATAACAGCAGTGCGTGCGCCAACGAGACAGATCACGCCGGGTGGTACGAGTCTCTCGAACTTTTTACTTATTTATGCATACGACCCGGGGGTTTCCTTCTAGCAGGGCACCTATTAATAGCCGTTCTACATGGAAGGGCCAAAAAACGGTGGCGGTTTGTCTAATGCCAGCCAATCACACCTGCTCACGTCTGGAACCCCCCCCCCGAAAAAAAAAAAATCAAAACGGCGTACGTCTGGAAAACCCCGCGACAAAACACTAAATCAACCGGGCTTCTCGAGGCGGCATTTCCGTGAAAATGCGCCGGGCGCAAGCGCACCATGCCAACAAGCTTTGGGATTCTAGTTTAGTCCTTGCCCCGTCAAAATTCGGGATGACATGGCAAACAGACACATGTCCGGCTTCCTTGAATATGGTGTTGGACGAAGGAAAGGCGTTTACATGTCCAACATGGACTGCATGAGCGCCATGACGGTCCACATGCGGTTCTCGGCTTCTGGGAACACCACAGATCGCTCCGAGTAGAAGACCTTTCGTGTTGGGATTGATTGGGTCAAGAACAACAAGGGGGGCAGCAAAAAAACGGGTGCAAGGGAGGGGAGAACGAGGATGAATGGGTAGAGAGGGACGAGAATCGACCGAGAATTTAAGTGAGCAGGTGAATGTATGTATGCACTGGGACAGAAACGACGCGATTCAAGCATGATGGCACACGGCCGCCGGGCAAACTTGCGCGGAAAGAAGATGACATCTCCGCGAAAACTGCCATAGAAAAACTAACTCTGGTACGATGACTGCGTGAGCCGAGACATCGATGAAACCACACGAATCCACGCTCAACACAGCCCTGCAATTCCTTTCCTCCAAAGTCAGTGTTGTTGTAGGGCAGGCCTGCGGCGGGATGGAAGCGTGGGGCATGCTTACACGTCTCTTGTGCTTCTACGTACGGAATCATAAATTCATCCAGCCGGGGTTGAGATTTTCACGTCATGGGGGTAAAATCCACAACGGGGTTTCCCACAAACGGTACTGCTGCGCGGCCCGCGTCCCTTCTCACTCACCGCATCGTCCACCTCTTCCTTGTGCCGGGGCAAGCAGTGCATGAAAATGGCGTCGTCAGCTGCGAGGGACATGAGCTCATCCGTCACCTGCACGAAACGGAGACAAACAGGCCTGTTGATGCACGTACAATACGCGTGTGCATGCTAAGTAACGTCGACATTCTCGACGACAACAAGGCAAACTAAGAAGAGGGAGAGAACAGGACAATCCCGTCGTAGAGCGACTTCACGCGAAACCAAACAGGAAAAATAAAGCGATGCGAAAGACAATCACCCACTCTGAGATACCAAGGCGACACAGCCGTCAACCGGCGCGTACCCGACAAGAGCCTTACCGACGACGTCTCTGTCTACCGTAAGACATCATCAACACGACAAACCATGACTAGGTCAGGTTTAGAATCGCAGTGAAAGTGTTGATATCTTGCAGGTTAACGGGAACATCAACGGCAAACCGGTGCCTTTCGACTCGGCGCAAAGTCCGTACACTGCTCGAAGAATCCTTGGGGCTTCGCAATCTCCTTACAGCAGCGACTGGACAATGGTCCAGGTCGATGGACGTTTTTCGCTCTCTTTGTGGGCATGCAGGCGTACTCGAGAGGCTAACATCCAGTGCCTCGTTTTGCGAAACAGATCAACACCATCCCACAAAAGGTCTGCTACTACAGGAGCATTGCTGGCTGCTGCAAACCCGGGTCTTCTGCCTGTCATACATTCTACGCGATTGGCCGTCTTGAGATGCTTTCAAGCATCAACATCAAAGAGTCCCTCCCTGCTTGCCTGGTATCCCTCGTAGTCTTTGATCCTCTTGGCAGCCTCCTCCTCCTGCCCCATGCTCACCCACGTGTCCGTCGCCACAACGTGTGTTCCCGTCACCGCCTGCATCATTCAAGGCACACGACAGTAACAATGGACGTCGGGGGTAAAGGTCAGAGTTATCGACACAACAGCAGCAGCAGCAGGCAGCAAACTTTACGGAAACATCCAGACCCACGCTGTGACGCAAAAAACCCCTGGAAAAAAACCCTTCTGACATTCAAAGAAAAGTACCAAAAAGCAAACATTCCTCTGACGTACATGGAACTCCAGACCAAAACAAACGGACGCTTCGGCCTACCTATTATAGAAAACACGCGAGGAGGTGGAGTTCCTCCGGCATCACACACTCCCAACATGTCACCCGGACGTGCAGTCGTCATATTCTTCTTGTTTGCGTCTTCACAGGAAAGCTTTTGACCATTTTCCAGTCCAGCATCTACTGCGGCTGCTGCCTGTGACGTTCAAAGTCTAAAAGCCTGAGAGGCACAAAAACGGCGAGGATGGACAAACGCCCCCCCCCCCCAACGTGAGACGACCACACCGTCCAAACTGTCCAGACCCGGAACGTACAGCACACCGCAGAAACATCATCTGCGGCAGACTCCAACTCCAGACTACATAAACAACAGAGGGTTGGTTAAACTTGCTCCCTCCTACTTGAAGCGTGAGTTAAAAAAACTATTCAACTCTACCTGTGCCTCCTTGTGCTTTTACTTTCTCGTTCCCGCTGGACAAGGGAAAAGGAGAGAGGAGGGTATAGCACTTCTCCGTGTTGTCGATGTATGCATGCGACTATTGTCACTTTGTCTCTATCTCTCGCTCTCTCTCCGCACCTCCTTGGGGTCTGCCGTGATCAACACAGACGATCCGCTCTCCTTTGCCAGCGCCTCGGTCATAGCGGTCACCGCCGGGTCCGGGCGGTAGCCCTCCGGAGTCGCGATCCGGAGGTTGATGGCTGTCAATACAAAAGGAAGGGGAAATACAAGACCACATGCTTGGCAACGCGACTCCCACGCGACGTCGATAGGTCTATCGACGGCTGTTCGGTTCCGAAAACTACCACGACACAGGAGTGTGTGTTTTCGGGCTCGCTCCACCGGTAGCGGACAGCCTGCGTTGCGTTGGAGGCCGATGACAGGGCTCCAAACGAAAACGACAACGCGATACCAAGCGCAGAGCAGCGGGGTCATGTTTTGGAGGTTCTTTCGCCCCTCATCCCGCCCCTCTCCCCACAAGTCGCAACGCGTTACCACGCAGTAGTAGCAACGGCAGTGCTAGAGGGGCGAGGGTCTGTGCGGCACGCGTAGTCACGAGGCTGTTCGCTATGCGGGAGTCTCCGCTACATCTCACACTCACCCAGCTTGGCTGCTCCGAGCATGAGGTCGTGCAGGACGTTGTTTCCGTCCCCTACCCACGTAAACGTGAGCCCCTCGAGCTTCCCGAACCGCTCCTGAACACAAGCACGATGCACGTGGCTTGGGAGTTGGCCGTCATGCTCAAAGAGGGAGGAAGCAACGCAGAAAGATCCAGCAACGCAACAACTACGCCGTTGTTGTCGTCTTTGCCGTGAGGACATTTCAACGCACGAAGACAGCAGTATCTTACCGACGGTACAACGACAGCCCGCAAGTGAACCCAGCCATGCGGTCAAGAATCATCAACAAAACAAGAGGTCACACCGAAACTGTTCTGGTACACTCCATCTAGATATGTTCTGCGGGGCCTCTGGTCTTTGGGAGGTGAGCTGGAGAATGCAGGGCACAGTCGTCCCCAGTGATTGAGTCTTGCTCCCGTCTGTTTTGCTGGGGTTGATGGTTCACGGTGGAAAAGGTTGCATAGTACATGGTAGATCAAAGGTCACCTTCCTTTGATCTCTCATGTATGAAGGGAACGTGTCCCAGTCGTGTAAGGAAAGTGTGTGTCGTGCACAAAGACTACATAGCATCACACACAAGTGATGACTTTCACCGATTTCCGCGGAGTTATCAACCGGGTTGAATGACATTTTTCTGGCGGCGTTGGTACCCAGCGTGCCTCGACTACCACATCAACAGCCGTATGTGTTGGGAATGCAAGTGCATTCTAGCGTTTGCGAAACAATAATAATGTTGTCGCCCTGGGTGCTCTTTCAGCGGTTCTCCAGGAGCGAGAATCATGCTCGGTATTGGGGCGACCTCTGGCGTCGTGCACAGCAGCAGCCATACCTGAATAGTCATGAGGTCGGCGAGCGTCTGCAGGGGGTGGTGCAGGTCCGACAGCGCGTTGATGACTGGCACGCGCGCCTCTGCCTTGAGCTCCTCCACGTCGGCATGGTCGTTCACGCGGGCCAACAGGAGGCTGTTGAAACCGGACAAGACCTGGAGAAGCCATGCCCACGTCCGAGGGGGGAGGGGTAGTGCGAGGCAGGCGTGTGTTGCATGCTTCCCCCTACGCGAATGCACCAAATGGTAGCTGCGGAATTTGGACAGGGTGCGCAGCATCAGGAACTACAGCGTAAGATCATAAACGACCTCAGCAACAGCAGCAGAAACCCACCCACCTACCCACCTTCGCCGTGTCCTTCATGGACTCGTTGACGCCGAGCTGAATGTCGGTGGGGCCGAGGAAGAGGGCTCTGCCCCCGAGGAGGCCCATTCCGGTCTCCGTCGACACGCGCGTGCGGGTCGAGCGCTTCTGAAAGATCATCGCCACGGACTTGCCGATCAGCTTCTGCTCCTTCTGCTTAGCGCGAGTTACGGCAACGCGCGGGCGGGGGGGGCGAGGGCAGTGCTTGCTACGCGATCGAATCTTGGAAGATGGAAGATCATTGCCGGTGCTCAAATGTTTATCCCGCATTTTTTGTTATTTTCTCCGAAACACCTGAGAGGTAAGAAACCAATTCCATCGGTTCGTGCATTTACTCTCGCCTCCAGCGATACAGGGCGACAACAACATGAAAACATTGCGGGGAGAACAAAGTCTTCCCCACGCTATTCCGAATACGGCAAGCTGCCGCCAAGGCAGGCGGCAAAAAAAAAAAGTTGTACCATATGCATATGCGTAGTCTACATATATGTAGACCTCGACTCGTAGCGAGGAAGGCATGCAGGAAACGTCTCCCAGTACCGACAACCTAATGATATAGATGTGCTCGCACCATCAATATTGGTGGCTGCCACTGCCATCCTCGCGCTATCCGGCAGCTACGCATACAGTACCTCTATCGGCGTCTGCAGCAGTTATTTAGTATTCCATGGCATGTGTACCGGGGCATGCGCATACCTCGATACCGCTGCTGCTGTCCTTGAAGGCTTTCTTGAGGGCGATCGAGCAGTCCAGCAGCTCGATGAGCTCCGCTTTGCTGCCGTGGTGGGATAACACAGCCGAAACCGTACCAAAAACGTGTCACATCCGGGACAAGATGCATAGATCGCGGCGGCAGGAGCCAACCAACAACTTGCGTGCTTGAACATGAGTACAACATGACTTGCACTCAACATCCGCAGGCGCAACAACGTGTCGAACGTGGCTTCCAAAGGGCCGGGGGCCGTAGTCACATGCTGGATCTAACAACAGGAATCGCTGTTAGGTGTCCAGTCCAAACATCAGCCTTGCTCACGTTTGCATGCACACGGACGGTACTGCTTGGTCTGGTCAACGGCAACCAGCACACAGGGGCGCTACTATCCACCGGCGGCATGATCTGCTCCGGCTCTCCAGCAGCGCTCCATTGCTTACCTGAGGTCCGCAATGGACATGAGCGAGCGCCCGGCCAATGACTTCACGCCTTGCACACCAGTCATACTGCCAGTTTTCGAGGGAAAGGAAGGGAGAGTAGCGTGTGTGGGGCTGCTGCGTGTGCTGTCTGCTGTGCAGTGTGCGATGTGGAGGATGGCGAGAGGATAAAGATGGATGCCTCTTAGGGGCTACGCGGAATCAACCACCCAGAACGTGTACCATACCCCGAGCTCTGAGCTGAGATGGTCACCTCTGCCTCACGCACAAGCCACCAGATTGGAGAGCAGAGAGGGGACGCCACGAGGAGCGCTGCTGCCGCCAGTTCTATCAACCACACAGGCCATGAGCCGCTTAAGCTACAGTGAGACCCGGGATGGCATAGTGCTCGGCGTGTCTGAGGAAGGGGTAGAGACGAAAGGGCCGTCAAACAGGTGCGAGAAAGAGTTGGTCCACAGAGAGCAGCATCACCCACAAACACAATGTGTTCGTGAACGATCTCGTGTAGATACCCTAGATATGCGTGTGCATGCCGCCTGGTTCAACGTGCATGTCAGCCGCATAGAATCGTCACAGCAGTAGTAGGATAGTCGAAAGTTGTAGCAACGCTTTCGTGCGAATGTTTAGCTTTGATTTGCCGAACTGCAGCGATCCTGTTTTTTTGTTTTTCCGTGAGTGTCCAACAGCAGTAACGCCTTCAAGCGGACACACCGCCTCGAACGCAAATGCTCTGTACAGGTTCGGGAGGGGGTCTGCCTCGGCGACCAACTTTGATGCCTATCAGTTGATGTACTGTATTCGAATAGCGGTAGGTAGTTCCAATCCTTCCTCACCGATGAAATTCGAGGTTCATCGGGTTTGTAACCATCCAGCGGTGTTACCGACCAAAAATGCGGATTCATTGCCCCGTTCAGATGGCACCAAAAGGCACCAACAACGATCATTTCCCTGCCCCCCTTCGCCGACTATTTTGAACTCTCAGCGGTGGCAAACGAAAGCGAGCGCGGGACGACGACATCGATGGCGTGGCGGAAGCAGAAGCGAACGGCGGGAGTGGTGGGGCGGCGAGCCCGGGCGCAGACTCACTCAGCTCTTACTCACTCATGGGTGTCGCCGACGGAAACGACGGCAAAGATGCTGCCGGAGGGGTAAGCAAGGTAGAGGTGGAAGCAGCGGCTGCCGACGGGGCACCATCGTCATCGGCTGATGGGAACGCCGGTTCTGGTGCTGATGCACCTGCTGCTGACGACGACGATGATGAGGTGGTAGAAATACCGCCGCCGTCAGCGGCACCGGCAGTTATGGAGCTGTCGGAGGAAGCAGACTGCGACTCAGGAGGTTTCAACTCTGGTCCACCAGGTACAGCTGCGGCCCCTATCTCGATAGAATCTGGTGAGGCTCCGCAGAAGAAGAGCAAGGGTCGCATATCGAAAAAAAAGCAGAAGGCTGTCGCGAAAGAGTTGGAGGCTCAGCAGGAAGACGGCGACGATGGTAGTGGGAGCGTAGGAAGCGGAGAGCAACGCCCCAGCAAAAAGGCCAGGAAATCGGCCGGTGCAAAGGCTAAAGACAGCGACGGTGGCAGCGAAGGCGGCAGCGACGACGATACCAGCGAGGGGGTTGACGCCGATGAGAGTAAGGGTGACGACGGTGGGGACAGCGGTGAAGGGGACGGGTTGGAAGGGCCAGTTTTGTTCGCGGTGGGCCAGCCGATGTCCAAGAAGATGAGAAAGATGGCGAAGGGTCGCCTGTCGAAGTGGGCCTTGAAGTTCACGGGAACGAGGTGCGTTTGTTCCAAACAAACACCGGTGATAGTTGTATATACACCCCATGAAGAGCGGGAAAATGTCCATCGCTCCGCGAAGAACGGTCGTCCACGTAGCACCACTTGTTTGTCGTGGGAGTGCAAGCCGCTTTCTCGGCGTTCGTTTTCTCAATGTTCGCTAGCCCCCTCCCCCCCCCCCCCCCCCCCCCAACCAAGACCCATCCCTTTTTTTTTTTTTTCCAAAAACAATTCACCCCCCCCCTTAATAAACCCCAACAAAACCCCAATTTTTTTCCCCTCTAAATA